CCTCCCTCCCCCGCCAATGATGACTGCTCCGCGCCTTTTGCGTTGGAGGAAATACTCTTTAGAGGAACCGAAGGAAGAAGAAGAAAAGAAAAAAGGAAAAGGGATAAATATTTATTGGATATATGAAAACGGACAGGTGTTAGAAGAGCACAGGGAAAAAGTACGGGAGAAACATGTTCTGGGAACAGGAGAATGCCTCCAAGAACCATTTGGAAAGGGCATACGTTTTTTTTTTTTTGCGTCAATTACCCACTTTTATTTATTTATTTATTGACGACGGTGATTCCGTTGTTTTTTCTTCTTTTTTTTTTTTCCGTATCATTGGCTTTCCTCACGAGAGAGAGGGGATGGATGCGAGTTAATCGTGTCTTGGCTGACTTTAAATTCTTTTTTTTATTTTTATTTCTTCCTTTTGATCCATTGACCTTCAGGCCGTTTCTCGTTGACACATCGCGCGAGAAGAAAATATTTTTGTGTTTTTTTGTCTTTTCTGAAGGGGATGGGACGAGTGGAGGCTGCGTGTGTTGTGGTTTGTGTGTTATTGTTTCTTGCGGTGCCGTGGAAGTTTTTATGGCTTTATTCCGGTCTTTTTGTAGCCTCATGGTCATCTCCGTTCCTGCTCACTCACACACACATGTTCTCTTTCTCCCTCTCTTTCTTTCTTTCTTTTTTAATGGAAAGGGTTTGAAGGGGACGATGTATCGGCGGGCGAAGGAAAAGCGTTCGCCTTTAGTGATGCGTGCAGGTGCTGGGCTGCCACCACCATCGCCAGTTGTGCCTTCTTCAGTGGCTTTGGATCGTGATGCCAAAGCACTACAAGCGATGTTGCAGGAGATGGATGAAGTTTTTTGCGTTAATGACGGCGATAATGAGCGGCAACGGCGATTGAATCAGATAGGGGAGCAGCAGATGGCTTTACAGCGTCTCTGCGAGGCAGCACTCCAACAAGAGGAACGTCTCAATAGTGCCGCAGTGCGCCATAAGGCGGCCATTGAGTTTGCGGAAGACAGGCCCGTTGATGCGGGCATTGTCTTAACCCCACGCTCCCTGGAAAGCTTTTCGACTTATGGCGATCCGGGTGCAACGGGGATGGGGCGCAGCGCAAGCCGCAACGACACTGGCTCGCAGATTATGTCAGCGCCACCCTTACCATTGTGCGAACTAACCAAAGAGGCTTCTGCCACCAGAAATACGGCAGCATCTTTTTGTAGCTATCGAGGCCGCATGCCGTCAACACATATAGAAGCTCCCGAAGTGGCGACCGTTTCTGCCGGTATAACTTTGAGGCGGGCTTCATTACCTCCCTTGTCCTCGCCAGCTTTGGATGAGGACGTTGCGTTAGAGGAAGACAGACGTCTCATTGAGGAATTTTTGGGTGTGATGGAAGTAGAATCCACTCATCCGTATGCGGCAGTGGGGAACGGGAGGAAATATTTGGTTAAAGAGGTTGCGCCAAAGCTGAAACTTCAACGTTTCAGTTGGAACCGGGGCACTACTCACACCACCCCTATGAATTCCAGTCCTCTCGCCCGGGACGCATCGCACGAGGAAAATTTTGATGTGAGGGAGGAGGAGCAATTGCTAAAACGTATCATGCAGAAGAAGCCAAGGCCCCCAGAAGACCCGTTACAGGGCGCCCATGCGGGTTCTGTCTCTCGTTCTAGCGATGTTCCGAAAGACGTGAAACGTCCCACACCCAAAAAGGAAAAAATGTTACACGGGGAAGAGAGGAGTTTCTCCACACTATCCGGTACGACTGCGGCACCGAGTCACAAAAGCGGTAAGCTTTGCCTCACAGCTGCACCACTCAATGGGGAACATATAGCTACGGGTCCCGAAAAGGAAAATTATGAAGATGTGAAGTTTACCCATGCCGGCGAGATTCAAGAGTTGTTACGGAAAAATGGGGAACTGCAGAAGGAAATTGAAGCACAAGATGTTGCCCTTCGGGATTTGACGCAAAAAACAGAAAGTCTTGCCCGCCATCTTGTCAATTCCATGCGAGAGCGCAACAAACTTCATTCAAGTGTGGAACGACTAGAAGAATCACTTGCACGCGCAAATTCCGAGCTTGGAAGGTTTCAAAGGGCGGTTGAGGAGCAGAATAAAGTGTCTTGTGGTGTAGATGTATGGCGTGCGACTGCGCATGCCAAGGAGCGTGAGTTGCGTATTTGCGAGGAAGAACTCAGTCTTCTGCGTGGTATTGTTGAGCAACGTGTCATGCGCTCTGGAAACGTGGTGATGCAACAGGCAGGTAGCACGGCTCTTGCTCAGGTGAAGAGCGATTTAGAGGATCTAATTATTGAACTTGCCTCCGCACATGTTCTTAGGCGTGAGGCTGAAATACATGCGGAACGCGTCTCAGAAGAGCTCGAGGCTGCGCAGTCACACATACAACTGATTGATAACCGTTTGGCCGAGGCGGAGAAGACTGTGGCATTCCAGAGATTGCAGGAGATGCGGGAACGTCTTCTGTCTGGCAATGATATGTCACTGCCTTTGCCTTCATTGCCGACATTGCCATCTTTTTCGATGCTATTGGAAGGTAATGTTGCAGCGTGGCCGATAGACGCCCGACGTGAAATTGCACGTCTAGCGAACTATGCGGAGAGTCTTGTGGCACAGCATGCTGAAAGCGATCGTTATGCCGAGTTACGACTGTCGGAAATACGACGAGAAAATGAAGAGCTTCGTGAGCGGTGTCGGGCATATGAATCCGGAGTGAAGAAATTGGAAGACGAAACCGAGACAATTCGGCGGGAAAGGATGATGTGGAAGTTGAGCGAACAGCGCTGGCAACAAATGCTTTTAGATGTGCAGGAGGATGCAGCGCTTGTCACGGATTTGTTGCAGAACAGAGTAAAGGGTGCGGAGAAGGTTCTGGACTTTCTGACGGTGCCTCATGTGGAACATGAAGTGAAGACAGAGATGGAGGCGTTTTTGAAGAACGCGATGCGTGACTGGGATACGGCTATACGTTTTACCACGGCGCTACAACGCATGGAAATTGGTAGCTCAGAGCTGCAGAAACAAGAATGGACGGAGAAATTCCCACTGTCGACCGCCACCAGAACAAGAAGAGAATTTGTCTTGCAGGCAATCGAGACGGCGATGGCGCAGAAGGCGTCATCGAGTTGTGTTTCACCACAACCTAAGCCACCAAAAGAGGGTCAGCGCCTTCTTGCACCTGACCCGGCCTCTTTGCCCCCGTCACTTTTTCTATCTCGTACGACCAACACGCAGAAAGTAACAACGGTGGTTGATGATGAAAAGTGGAAAGAAAAAGTGGAGAGTGTTAGCTGGCCATTGCATGCCCCTGAGGTAAAGCCGCGGGCTCTTTCGCCTCCACGCCCATCATTCACTGAAGGAGAGTCTGTCGTCACTCGCGATGAAGAGTACCAGACTGAACGGCATCGTCGGGAAGGCGTACCAATGAAGAGAGTGGAGCCACTTCAACCTCCTGCTGTGAGTCCACGCGAGTCTCTGACACAACCTTTGAAGGATCGAGAAATCCCCCTTTTTCCCCACCACTATGATCCCGGGAAAATTAGAGAGGTATCTCCAACCAGAGAGATTCGTCATCCTCAGTCACGTGAAGGAAAAAAGCGTTTCCCATTTGCGCCCAAAAGGGAGGAATTGAGCTTTAAAAACCTGCCAGAGGATGAAGGAACTCAGCGTGACTCAGCCATTGTGGTGACGCCCGCCGAGCCCTCTCACGGCAACAAGGGAATTGAGGTTTTTGTATCAGGGGCCATCTTCAAAGAAGAGGGCATAGAAGATTCAACGACAAATGAAGAGGCTGTTGTGCCTCCAGTTCATTCCTTATCAACCTGTGCAACCGAAACGTGGACGAATTGTAGTCAGGAGGTCGAACATATGGCCGAGCCACCTGGCCGTGAGGGTAATGCAGGCCTACGCAGTGTCACCCCAACGACGCCGGTCGTTCCTGCCGTCACCAGTACTAACACTTTTGTTATAGCCGCAGTCGAGACAGTTGAGGGTTGTGTTTTAAGTGGTGAGGAACTACGTCTGCAGGCAGCGTTGGGGCAGCGCTTGCAAAGAGATGATGCTCGTGAAAAGTCAGGGCAAGCTCCAAACTCCGCGGACGTAAGTGGTAACAGGGATTTTCCGACAATTTTGGTTTCTGATTCCATGCTTGAGAGCAAGAAGAATAAGAAAAAATTAAACAAATTAAGCAGGGAAGATTGGAATGACGATGTAGATGATGCCAACAACGAACCACGGTTACATTTGGCGGCACCTATTCGAAGGAGCGATCAGACGGAAAAGGTTTTCCAGGATGAGAATTCAAGCTCTTATTCACCCACGGAGAAGTCTAAAGAGGTACCATTGATGAATGAGCCGAACAGAGCGGATGACAAGGAGAAAGAAATGAGCCCTATTCGTTTCTTAAATAGTAAGACTAAGCCGATGGCAATGCCAGATGTTCGAGAGAGCATTAGGGGAAGTGCCGGGCACGTACCAGCTCTCTCGCGTTCATTGCTTGACACGCAACGGAGTCGTCTTGCTGCTTCACTACAGGAGCCACGGCAAGTTACTTGCAAGACGCCTGTCGCCCAAAAACTCTCGGAGGAGGCGGAAACGGTAGTACAGAATTCTGTCACAGAGGAATCGGTGGCAGTTCTACAAGAGACAGAAAAAGAAACCGCACCGGTAGTGGGAGAATCCTCCGATCCGGGTGGACGACGCCGGCCATCGGCAGTGATGGACTTCCCATCACTTCGTCACTCGGCCCTTGGTCCCGGTGGGCGAAGGCAACTAGACGTACAGAAGATATAGGCGATACAATGCCTGTAGTGCGCCCGAATGGGCCAAGTTGGGCTGTCAGGTGAGGACAGGAGTGAGGAGCTTGGCCTGCCAATGTGTGTACCATATTAAAACATATTTGCTTGTTTGTCTGGCTATACTCCAGAGTGCAATTCTTGCTCTTTGTATTATTATTTTTGTTATCATCATTATTTTTTGGTGAGTATGGCTCGAATATGGAAAATAAGAATTCTACGTTCCCCCAATATCTTTTTTTGTTTGTTTGTTTGAGTGCGGTGAGGCAGACTTTCTATCCTTGCTTTCTTTTGTTTCATGCATACGCTTTTCTTCCCATAGGAGGGATATAATAGCAACAAGAAGAAGGAGGTGGAGTGCGTGTTGAAGAATCTTGCTGTTGCCTTTCAATATTCATCAGAGACACATCCACACGCGTTGTATTTAATTCGGCAGAAGGATTACTTTTGAATGGCAGAGGGTACGACAACGAAGGCCACGGCGGCTTTGTCGTCGTCTTCCTCCTCGACATCAGGGGCAGAACGACGAAAGCCCCTCGAAGATGTTATTTTATCCCCAGAGTTAACACATTGCCCTTTAACTCCGAAGCTTTATTTGGTGGGTGGAGGAGAACATGCTGAGGCTCGACAAACACGATTGCGTCGTCAAGGTGCTACACCACAACACAAGAAAAGGACGGATCAAAAACTTAAAAAACGCTTGTTGAAGGCACGAGGAATAAAACGGAAAGATGAGGATGATATGACAAGGCATCGTGTCACGGAAAAAGTCGCCATTTCATCCTCTGCGACATCGAGTGAGAAACAGGCAGAAAGTAGCGTAGTCTCTGAACGTGACTCGTTGCTGGAGAGGTTGCGAGAAAAAGAACGTCAGTTTGATGAGAAAATTACAGCGCTTGACGAAACACTCTCGTGCGCTGAAAGGGGCCGCCTGCAGCGAGACAGCATTATTGATGGCCTCCGCGCGGAGGTGACACGTCTGCGGGCACAACTGGAGCTTGCCGCTGGCGCCAAGAGCCAGGCAGATGAGCTTCGTGAAAAGATTCTCAAGGAGAGAACAGTGGCGCTGGAGGAGGCGCATGCGAAGATAGAGGCACTTCACGATACCGTTCGTGAAAAGAATCAGCGGATAAAGCATTTAGAGAGAGAGTTAAAGCTGCGGCAGGCTGCCATTGCTGCTCAACCCCAACAAAAGTTGGCAGTCACAACGACGGCGGAGCGGGTAAAAGTGCCGCAGCTGCAAAAACAGGAAGAGCAAAAACAAGGGATGCTGCGAACGCTCAGCCCAAATGTTGTTAGCTTGGAAGAACGAGAGCGAGAACGACGTAAACGCGAGCAATATAGTGCCAGTTTGCGGGCACTACAGGAAGAGGTTCAGGCGCTTGAACAACGCTACAACATCACCCGAAACGAGAAGAACGCCCTGGACGAAGAGAATTATGAGCTTCGCTCCAAACTGGAAGGCATTCAGGAGGACTTTGAAACACGTGTGGCTGGAGCCGTGGAAGCCATGCAAAGCCACGTGGACCAGAAGCGTGAACTTGAGGCTGAGGTATTAGCCACCCGTCTCGGTATGGCGCGGTTGCTTCGACTTCTCAGTGAGGTGCCAGAGATGCGGCGATACCTGCGGGCAACCGCCATTGATGATGACATGCTCTTCACTGGATACGCACTTGCGGCTGCAACAATTGACCGGAAGGCAATAAGCGAAAATGCAGGGCATTCCCATTATCAGAGACGACGCAATGGTGGCTTCTCTACGCTGGCCGCTGGAACCGGTGTTGATGATGGTGTCTATGGTGGGAGCTTAATGCCGTGGTCAAGCAATATATACCTAAATGGCAAGTGGTACAGAAAATTGCAAGAAATCATCGATGACGAGAATAATTTTCTGCGTAGCAGGAAGATTTGTATTGGCGATCTGGAGGATGCCGCGCGTTGCGGTCGAGGAGGGGGCGATGGTCCCCCACGTCTTCCACCAGCTTCTGATGTGTTAAAAGGCCGTCAAAACGACAAGGACTTTTGGATTCCGTATGCCGTTTTTGTGGAGGCTCAGAAGTTTAAAAATCGTTACTTCCCTGCTCTCAGCTATGAAAGTTTTTATCCCTTCCTTATTGCTGTCAACCATGTGTGGAACGAAAAGACGAGACGTCGTGTGGCGTTAGAGACCCGGCGACGCCTCTATCTGCAGCAGCAAAAACAAGAACAAGAAAAACGTCACCGTGCAGTAAAGGAGCAGACGGATGATGCCCTTTACTCCAATGATTGCTTGCGTCAAATGTCTTCATCGGCCCTGAGTTTTCAGCAGCAACTTCAACAGTTGCGACATGAGGTGCGCCGACGGGTAACGGGAAAAAATAGCCTTGAATTGTTCCATGCGTATGATTATTTGATAAAGTGTGCCTTGAAGCATCTGCGGGAGGTTCAGGAGGAGCACGCTGCTCTGTTGAAGCGACATCAATATTCATTAAGGTCCGTGTGCGTCCCAAAAGAAGAACATATTGATGAGGAAGACAAGGAACGCATGATAAACGAGGAAGGGGGAGTGGGTATAGTTGATTTTGGCAATGAAGCCTTCGTCCTTCTGCGGCGTGCACTCTCAGCGCTTGCAGAGGAAGTTCAGGAGATTAGTGAGCGTTCCGCGTCACGTATTGAGGCTTCCTGTCGAGACATGCAGGAGTTTCTCGGAGCATTGCGGGACCAGAAGCTTCGGGCAATTTCCTTTCAAGAACAACAACAACAACGGTTGGGAGAGGGAGAGAGTGCTGTTCTCTTGCGCACGCAAACATTAGATTCCGTTCCGGTGTCAACTTTGCTTCGTGTCATTGAGGGAATACTTGATTTTGTGGACGAGGTGCAGCGGGAGGTGCTTGCGGCACGGAATGCCATGTCTCGATGTGCAACACAAGCAGACGAAAAATCGGAGCTTCTCTTTACACCTGCTGCTGTAGATGATGGGAGCGGAGCCGAATATGATGAAGAAGAAGACGAGTTGGAGATGGCGATGGACGGTTAAAGGCAATATCCGAAGTGGTGGCAAGGACGGCGGCAAGTTGTTTCATGGCCCTCTTGATGTTGGAAGTGCGATGGCTTGTTGAAAATATGTATTACATGGTAGAGTTGATGGGAATTGCGGTCTAGAGATAGAGTAGTTTGTCCAGTACATTACACGGTGGGGAGGGCAAACAAAGAAGGCGGGGAAGAGATTCTCTTGTGGCGTTTCTGCGTGCCGCGGAGAATTTTTTCCTTGTTTGTTGCTGAAGAATTACTTCTCCCTCCAAGCACAAAAGAGAGGCAGGAGTGTTGGCTTGACTGGTGGGGAAGCGGAAGTGAACCTGGTAGGATATTCCTGCGTTTTTTTTTGTTTTTTTTTTTTTTGGAGTGCATACGGGAATAACAATGCTGCTGCTTTTTGTTGTTGTTGCTTTGTTTTTGTTTGAATTGCTGCAAGGGAGGGGAAGAACAAAAAAAAAAAAGAAAAAAAAAAGGGAACGCCATAATCACCGACAACAACGCAAAACAGGAAAAAGAAAATTACCATACATAGGTAAAAGGGGGATGAACAATATTGCCAACTTGCTTCGGGCTCAGACGGGAGGAGGGAATGCACGCGCAGTCCCGACGGAGGATTTGCGCGACACGGCCGAAACGGTTCAGATCTCCTCCCTTGCGCTGCTAAAGATGCTTCTGCACGGCCGGGCGGGGGTGCCACTGGAGGTTATGGGCCTTATGATAGGCGAGCAGGTTGACAACTACACAATCCGCGTGACGGATGTATTTTCTATGCCCCAAACGGCGACTGGCCAGTCCGTCGAGGCGGTGGACCCAGAGTACCAGGTACACATGCTAGACAAACTCTCTGTTGTAGGCCGTTCTGAGAAGGTCGTCGGGTGGTACCACAGTCACCCCGGCTTTGGTTGCTGGCTTTCTGGGGAGGATGTAATGACGGCAGGCAACTATGAACAATTGACCCCACGGAGTGTTTCTGTCGTGATTGATCCCATTCAGTCGGTCCGTGGAAAAGTCGTAATTGATGCCTTTCGCACCACCAAAGATGCGCTTATGGGAGGAAGAAACATGTACGAAGAGCCGCGCCAAACCACAAGCAACCTCGGCTGGCTGACACGACCGTCACCCGTTGCGTTGACCCGTGGTCTTGACCGTGATTACTATAGCCTTGCCATCACATTCCGAAAGAAGAATCATGAATTGGCGTTGCTGTTGAACGTCTACAAAAAGGGTTGGCAAGAAGGTTTCCGTCTTGAAAACATGGAGAAATTTGACCGACAGACGATACGGGAAAAAATCCGTACATTGGCATCGCTCGCAGGGCAGTCGGAGCGTTTTATTGCCCAAGGCCTTGACGAGGACGATATAGGAAACATTGGTCGCACGAATCCCATTCTCCACCTACAGATGGAAGCCGAGGGGCTAATCAATGCCAATTTGAATCAGTCTATTGGAGCCATGATCAATGGTGTTGCCTTTTAGGGAATGGAATGGTAAAAGAAGGATTATGTTAAATCAGATTATTGCGAGAACATGTCGAGGCAAGTGAGAGAAGACGGGGTGAAGGGACAATCAAACGGTGACGAATGAATGAGAAATGTATCTTTTTTGGTTGTTAATATTCAGCCCCACGAGATGTCCCAGTTTTCCCTTTTGAAGGGTTTAAGCACGGGAATTTTGGCGTGTGTGTGTGTGTTTGTGCTTCTTCTTGCATCCTCGCCCTTTCTTTTCTTTCATATGGAAGGAGGAGAAGGAAGATGAAATCCACACAACAGAGAAAGAACAAAAAGGCAAAAAAAAAGGACTTTTTATTGTTGTTGTTGTTGTGCGTTTGCAATGGGAGAGTTTTCATTTATTTATTTATTTTGTGCAATCTATAAAAAAAAAAAACGTTTTTTTTTCTCCTTCTGTTCTTTTTTATTACTGTTATTTTTATATTTTTTGCCTGTTTGGTTAGCTGTTTGTTTTCTTCTTTGAACTTTTTCCCCATTCTCCTGTTTTTTTTTTGTTTTCTGTGTGTTTTCGTGTGTGTTTGTTTACTTCTTTTTGCGCCGACACTGTGCTGACTTATTGGCGCACACCTAAGTGAGGAATACGCACATATCATCGAATTTGCTTCTGATTGTGGAAGTCTTATATCATGTTTTCACGCACATTTCCACGAAGAATTGGGAGCGAGACGTATGGCGGGTGGCCTTGGCCAGTCAAGCTTCCATTCAAGGCGGATTGGTACCATAAGCTTAGTTCTCGGCAGAGTATAGCCGACGAAAATCGCGAGTACACTGTCATTGGCGATATTTTGATCCTCAGCATCGTGGCCTTTGCCACATACCGCGTAAATGAGCTTTACTTCCGCAGCAATGCCTACCAGACACATCTGTGTCATCTTACCCAAGCCCCGCCGGCTATAATAGCCAACGAGTTTGACTTCAAAAAAGCAGAGAATAACCGCAAAGTTTCGCGAGCCGTCTTGGATGAATACCGGGAAGCCGTTGTGGCCTGCAAGGCGCAGCGCCAACCCATTGAATCCGTCATATTTAATTTTTAGGGAGCTGGGAAGAGGGATTATTAACCGCAGAGAATGCGCGGAAGCTGGGCCCGGCGATGCATGTATTTATTGTCGAGAAAAGGAAAAAAGAATCAGAAAGCAAAGAAGAAAGAATTCAGCTCTTAATTTCCCGATTTACTTTATGAGAAGCGTTCAGCTACGGAATTTCTCTTTAGCTTTCCCTCCCCCACCCCTAGATCTGGAGGCTTGTGAAAAGAGTGTTTCCGAGAAGGCTGAATTTCTTAATATATACGTTTTCTAAAAGGAGGAAGTATACTCATGTCCTATTTTTTTCTATGTTATGATCCTTTGAAAGACCGCGATTAAAGGAATTAAGAAACTGATAGCTGCACAAAGAAAAGTGTACGTTTATTTTTGTTTTTATAGTCACGCCGAATTCATGCAATTTGATTGAAAGAAATGACCGTGATTCCCCACGCGGCGACGGAGTAGGGCGAAATCGGCGCCCAGCACGGCGACATCCAGGTGCAGCCTACCCGCTCTTTTGGCCAGGGGCCGTCCGATGCGGTGCTAACAGTTGATGCAACCATGGAAGGCTTACTATTGATTTCAGGGACTAACGCCAAGCACTGGGGGGATATTACCGTTGCGGGGCACTTGGGGAATCTCTGGGCGTCTCAAGTACCAAATTTTGGGAACCAAATGCTCCTGCCCATCGTGTGGGGACGGCTTGGGAGTTGGGGGTCCAACAAGGGGCTTATCATGGCTGAGAGAAAGCGCTTGGGCACCGACCACGCCAACGCCGTTGTGGACCTCCTTCATTGGAGTGCCCAGCGTTACTCTAATGTGGAAGAGGTGCATGCTAACTTGTCGGCACGGTTCAGCGGCCTGGAAGCGCAGGCTGCTTGCGGGACGCGGAGACGCCGTGTCAGCGAGATGCGCCCACCTCTTGGAGAGGGCCGCCAGATGAATCCCCACGCACGCCCGAAGCCGGCGCAACTACGCGGTTACATTAACCGCATCGTTTGATGTCCGGGGGCGTGTCAGTGTCCACGCCTCCCCAACGCATTCTTACGGGAGTGAGGTGGCGGCTTTAACACCCAAGTGTCTCAGGGCAAATTTGGGGAGACCACATCTTTCCCACCTGACGAACATGCCTTCCCGCACCTCCTTGGACGCCCATTCCGGTACAGAGGATCAGGTACTGCATTTTATTGCATTCGGCGTCGCCACCTGGGCCCTGCGCATATGGAATGAGGGCATCTCTGCAGTCATCGCCTACCTTCTGAGCGCATACGGTTATTATTGGCACCAGGCGGATGCTCAGGCTCAACTTGCCTTTGGCAGTCCGTTATCGTGGACACGAGCACTGGATATGGATCGGGATTTCGCGGATCGCTTTAAGGATTTTGGCATGGCCCTACTGCAGGCATTCCGGACGCAGACCATGATAACAAGCGGCCCAGCATCCCGCTTTCTTAATTTTGCACCCGCATTTGCACGCAACAACAGCGATTGTTGCGATGCCAATTGTGTCATATTTGTGGACACGACGCATCTACATGCAACATGCGCGGCGTAGCCGGGAGGAATTGCTCGCAGCACGGAATACGGCAGCCCCACCACCTCCCACCAATCCGCAGAGACTTCGCACCGCACCGCCGACGCTCCATCCGATATTTTAAATTGCCCGACGCAATCGTTGAGAGGGGCAATGGAGCTTATCCGCCAACGACGCTCAACTGTGGTACGACGAAGCACCGACATCTCCGCTTTGGGCCGGCCACACAAGGAGGGCGAACGAGGTCGCTCGAGAGATGTGGGCGCCGTCAACGTGGAGGCAGAGAATTCCCTGGCGGGCAATTA